TAACTCTAGATCTATAACTCTAGATCTATAACTAGATCCAGAGTTATAGATCTGGATCTATAACTCTAGATATATAACTCTAGATCTAGATATAGATCTAGAGCTGCAGTGACTACAGCTAGAAACTAGAGATCATGAACTCTGACCTGAACCTTCAGAACCACATAAAGACGGTTACAAAGCCGGCCTTCTGTCAGATGGAGATCACTAAAGACCTGCTGCTGTTGTCATAGCAACAGACTCTCAGGTTTTCCTGCTTTTCACCTCAAATGTCCACAAACCAAATACCAGCTAACGCCAGCAGGTGGCAGAGTTTCTATCTAAAACTAGAATGATTTGAACTTTGAGTCAAAGTGCATCTCCTCCATCACCCCCAGCAGTTTTCCCAGTGTTCCCAGCAGCTTTCCCAGTGTTCCCAGCAGCTTTCCCAGTGTTCCCAGCAGCTTTCCCAGTGTTCCCAGCAGTTTTCCCAGTGTTCCCAGCAGTTTTCCCAGTGTTCCCAGCAGCTTTCCCAGTGTTCCCAGCAGTTTTCCCAGTGTTCCCAGCAGCTTTCCCAGTGTTCCCAGCAGCTTTCCCAGTGTTCCCAGCAGCTTTCCCAGTGTTCCCAGCAGTGATCCTCACCTGGAAGTTGTGGACCACGGTGATGTGTTTGGGGGGCTGGGCGCTCCTGGCGTGGTTCACCACAGAGTCTCTGCTGACGCCGGGGATCCGGCAGGACGACAGAACCTCGTAGTACTGGTTCATACACAGCGGCTTCCCACTCAGGAACTCCACTGGGAGAGTCTCACTGGAAACCAACCAGTTGACACATCAAACACTGGGAAAACCTTCAAACTCATCTGATGACCAGAAATCAGACAAAAACGGCTGCAGGACTCACTTATCGATCATCGTCTTGAAGTCTAAAACTCCGGCGATCAGTTTGGAAGCAAACTGGAGAGAGACAGAGGTCATTCTGGGGTCGGAGTTCAAGCCTGGAAATAAAACTACAGGTCAGTTTGAGTTTTTACTCCCATCCAGACTCATCAGGACTAGAGGAACATTTTAAACTCTGAGAAGAAAATGGGCAAGAAAAGACAGAGACAAACAGAACAAACTGGCTAAAACAAACGGAACGAGGAACAAACCAAAGGTTGATTCTCTGAGAAGTAAATCATTTCAGGTACTAAAGGTCAATTCAGCCCAACACCACCAGGATCAGTAGAAACTGTTTGTTCACCTGATCTGTCCTTGTTTGTCCCTGAAGTCCATCCTGGGCAGAACCAGGCCTGGACTGGAGTGGACCACCACCGGCAGCCGGTACTCCAGGTAGGCCACCTGGACCCACCTGGGAGAGCTGCGAGCAGAACCACAGGAAGGTGGAAAAACGTGCAGGAAGCAAAGCAATTCAAGGACTTTCAAGGTCTTTCCAGGATGAAAAAACGTGAAGATTAAGGAAAGAAGTTCATGAGTTTAAATCCAGATAATCTGCTGTTGGCCACGCCCCCAACTCAGGGTTTACACTCACACAGGAAAATCGCTGCGACGCACATGCATTTAAAACCTGTACATCTTTGAAAAGCATTAGTAGAGCCTCCTGCACAACCGACCAGATTGCAGCAAGAGGTTTCTGGATCATAAGTCAATAACAAAACTCTTGTCTTTTACAGCAGCCATTGTACAGAACATGAAGCTGACCAAAGGTTTTGGGGTTGCTAGGTAACATGCAGACTCTACTGAGGTTGCTAGGTAACAGGCAGAAACCCCACTGTGGTTGCTCGGTAACGGCAAAGTGTGACTCAACAACAGGGAGGTTTTTCAAATGGCCCGTTCACCAGGCACCAAATAACATGAGCTTCTTGCCGAGAGACGACGGAATATTTTTTTCTGTGCTTTGTTTCTATAAGTAGTAGAGGCTCAAATAGAAGAATAAAAACATACAAAAGTGAGTTTTGCATTAACTTTAAATCAGATAATCACAAAGATGTGTTGTATTAGGAATAATTTGGACTGAATCATTTTAAAACAGGCCTTGAACTAATTTCTGTGTTTTAAATGTAGAACTTTTTTTTCTACTCAGACATGTCAAATGAAATCCACCAAATTAAATATGTGGAAACTGTTCCAGTTTGAGTTCAGCTCTATAAGGAGAATCTAATGATGCAGCAGTTTAACAGCCGTCTGTCTGAGCGTTGGACGTACCCAGTTCTCTGTGTCCCTCGCCCGTCTCCAGGCCTTTCTGCCGCCCCCGACGCCGCCGGCCTCCTGGAACTGCTGGACCAGCCGCCGGGTCCGCCTCAGCTCCTCCGCCTCCACGATGGGCTCCAGGGCCGAGATGTAGCGCTCGCAGGTCTGCTGCAGCGGGGGTACCGGCAGGCTCGCAGCCCCCTCTGGTGGCTCAGGTACCTGCCGGCCACCGGGGTGGCAGAGACGGGTTTCACCAGGTGACACGGTCTCACCATGACAGCCTTCCACTGGAGACAAGGAGACCTGTGACTGTTAAGCATGCTAACTGTTCTACCGTTAAACATGCTAACAGCTCTACTGTTAAACATGCTAACAGATCTAATATTAAACATGCTAACAGCTCTAATATTAAACATGCTAACAGCTCTACTGTTAAACATGCTAACAGTTCTACTGTTAAATATGCTAACAGCTCTACTGTTAACATGCTAACAGTTCTATTCCTGTTGAACTGATCAGGTGTTGAAATAAAATTCATTCATCAGCTGAGGTGAATGAATGTTTTGTGAATCTGTGTAAGCGTTCCCAGAAGGTTCCCTGATTGTCAGTAGAAGAAAGTTAACTTTGACAACATTCACAGAAACATGCAATTCAGACAAAATCTCCATTTAAAATCACTTAAAACAGTTATTAATAACATAAAAATACCACATGAAAGTGGAAATTAACTTTCAATCTACCTTCAGAAAACATTCACTGAAACATTTCTGATTGTGAAGAAAACATTCGACCTTCAGAGAATGTTCCCTGGATTTTAAACTCTGTTTAAACTTCATATGAAGTTTCCTAAAGTTCCCTGTGGGTCAAAGATCTTTCTAACATTTAGAAAACCGAAGAGAATATTTATCTGAAACTTATTTTAAATTGCCACACAGTGAAAGTCACCACAAAAGTTCAGGGAACCTTTAGGGAACATTCCTGGAAAAGTTTTCAGCTGAATAAACAACCTCAGGTAATTCAGTGAAGAGTAGACCAGAAAACATTTAAGCTTTATAGTCAGGAACATGACAAATATTCCCTACTGTAAGAAACTTTAGGGAACTTCATGTTCATAAAGTTCCCTAAAGTGTTCTCTGAATGCTAGTACTTCCGAGTGTTTCCATTGTGACCTTCAGAGAGTTTTTAGAAAAGTTTCTGTAAAAGTCACAGATCGACAGCTGCTGCTGCATTAGGGAACATTAACCTGAAAGTTACTGTTTTGCAGAGAAGAATTTGATTTAGAAAATAAAACTAAACATAATTGAAGTTTTCAGCAGTTTTCAGCAGCTTAATTGGAATAAAAAACATCAAAAATAGCCCAAAAAGGCTCTAAAATTAGACAAATCTAACAAATTATATCGGTAAATGTTGTTCAATAATAAAAGCGTTTGGACCTTATTGGCAGATAAAACAATGAGGAGTTCCAGCTGGTTTTATTCCCAACTAACCCAGTTAAAATGACCTTTCACCCAGTTAGCCTGTTAGCCACTCGAGCTAATTAGCTCCGTTCACTTTAACGAGAGCTAAGCTAACAGCTAGGAAACTTCAGCGCTCTGTTTTAGCCAGAAAACACCAAAAAGTGTCAGAGTGAATAAAGCTGCTCGAAATAAACCAGAAGTTCTTAATAAAAGTCAGATGCAGTTTGTGTTGGTCAGCTTGAAATATTTCTACAGATTCAGGAGTTTCTCTGCTACATTAGCTGGAGTTGTTCCACTCACCACAGTTCTGCTGCAAAAAGCCAACATTCTGGCTCAGAAACGCCCACAAACCGTGATCTGAATCCGGGAGGATCAGCCGCTCAGCGCGAGGTCTCACTGCTAAAAACCTCAGAAGAAACTCAGATGAACCGAGAAAGAACCGCAGGGATCCGCTGAACCGCAGGGATCCGCTGAGCTGCTGACATGCTGAGGAAAACCTCCTGAGGAAGAGGAGCGGATGCTGCAGAGCAGGTTCTAGGTTCTGCTGGACCCTGCAGGTTCTAGGTTCTGCTGGACCCTGCAGGTTCTAGGTTCTGCTGACCCTGCAGTTCTAGGCTCATGCAACACAAATAACACACTTACATTATTACACTTACATTATTACATTACATACAGACACACATGTTCATGAAGCTGTGCTTACTTCTATTTTATTAGAAAAAAAGATTTTATTACCTCCTGACTTCATTTATTTAAAATTTCATAGAAAAAATATTATTTTTGGTTGTTTATTGGTGGACGGTGTGTTTATCACCGTCATTTTAGGACACAAAAAAGTTAATTTTTCCTCAAATTCATATGGAGTCCTCAAGTGTTATTTATTACAATTTAAAGATGTAACTCTTTGCAAATGTCAGTTTTATTACAAGAATGTTGGTCTAATCTGTTTCACTTGATCTAATTTTTATACGGATTTCTTTTTTTAACTCATTTATTTTTCTGAATTATTCTGGAATGGTTTATTTGTTTGTTATAATTATTAAAGGCTTCAGTTAAAGCCTGGTTTAATTACAGTAATTTTATGAAGTGAAATGCCATAATTATACATTGTTTTTGTTTCGTTTGCTTTTTCTCTAAACCGACTGTTTAACTGCAAGAACATTAATCTTATTTAGTCTTTTGTAATCTACTCTGGGAGACTTTCAGTCTCTTTCTATGGTAAATATCAGAGAATAAAGTTTTTAACTTTTGAATTTTGTTGATCTGCGTTTCCAGATGTAGTGGTGCAAATCCGCCACCTGGGGGCAGTGTTTGAACTGCGTCTGGTTTAAACCTATGCTTCAAATCTTGTGAAGAGAACGTAGAAGAAGATGCGGCTCGCCATGGCGGAAACAGAGCAGCAGTCAGGTAAATATGATGTTTCTGCTGTCTGTCACCAGTTCTGCTGTTTAACTGGGAACAATGGTTCCCTCCCAGCAGTTCCGCGGCTTTTCTACATTTTACGGCTGGAAATTCAAACTGGTTTATCTGGACATTAATTTGGCTGCTTGTTTTAACCTGGACTGGTTCAGAAAATGTTTCAGGTTTTAACATTCATAACTTTCACATCAGTGATCGAATAGCGATGATTATTTCCCTGCAGAATCTCTTTTTATCCTTTAAATCCTGTATAATTTTAATAATTACATCATTTGAAGCTTCTAGTTGTTGCTGCAGTTTAGTTCGTCTGGAAGGAAAATAATTCAGCTTTAATTAAAACAAAACAAGAATAAAATGACTTGGCATGGAAATTAAGATGATATCCTGCCTTATTGTTTATTTTTTATGTATTTATTGTTAAATTGATTGATCAGTCTTTCTCTGGATGGAAATGCAAAACAAGGGAGAATTTATCTTTCTAACATAAAGCTGATAAATTATATAAACTGAACGTCAGAATAATGAGAGGATTTTAATTATTTAAAGTCAGAAGTTTGACATACACGGTGATAAATGCATTTTAAACAATAAAGCCCAGATGATGTTTGGTTCATGTTGGTCCAGTTTCCTGGAGCTTCCAGGTTCATCTGTTTAATCAGGTAAAAACACGATGGAGTCGCCAGACAGCGACGGGTTCTGTGTCCCAGAGAAGAACGGGTTCTGTGTCCCAGAGAAGAACGGGTTCTGTGTCCCAGAGAAGAACGGGTTCTGTGTCCCAGAGAAGAACCGGTTCTGCTTTGAAATGTGTGACTGAACCACAGAAGAAAAGCTGAAGACATTCTGAAGCTCCTGGCTGAAACCAGTCCTGCACCAACATGGGCTGAAATGTCGCTCTGAGAGGAAGAAGCCATGAGTCCAAAACCAAATGACAGTTTGGAAAAATGATTTAATGATAAGAACTAACTGAACCGGATCAGATGATAATAATGTCTACCTGGTTCTTTCCAGCATCTTCTCCTGAAGATGAGGCGCCTGACGCCGCGACGGCCTACATCATCCCCAAGAAGGAAATCAGCATGGTGCCCGACATGGGGAAGTGGAAACGCTCTCAGGTACGAGTCCTTCCTGTTGAAACTCCCAGACAGGAACTAGAGCTGCTGCTGTGAAAGGTTCTGGTTCTGTGCTGTGACCCGTCCAGGCCTACGCTGACTACATAGGCTTCATCCTGACCCTGAACGAAGGAGTGAAAGGGAAGAAGCTGACCTGTGAATACGAAGTCTCTGAGGTGACTTTACTTTTTCTAAGATGTTTTAATGGAAGTTTTTAAAGATTTTTAAACATTTAGTAGTTTTATACATTAGCAACTCAAATGACAGGGGACAGGAAGCTGCTTTCTTGTTTTCCTGTTCAAGGTTTTATCATGACGGGTTATGGGTCAGAACTGAACCGGTTCTGTTGGTTTTCCAGACGGTGGGAAGCTGCTGGCCTTCTGGGAACTCTGGACCAGTGGATAAACGAAACTCCTCCGGTCGACCAGCCGTCCCGCTTCGGCAACAAGGCGTACAGAACCTGGTTCTCCAAGCTGGAGCAGGTTGGGTCAGAACCGCCTCTGTCCGGTCCGTGTCGGCGCCGGGCTCGGATCACGTTCTGTCTGCGTTTCAGGAAGCCGAGGCCTTGGTGGCCGGCGTGCTGCCTGCAGAGAAAGCCGCCGCCGCTCCGGAGATCGCCGTCTACCTGAAGGAAGCTGTCGGGAATCCGACCCGAATCGACTACGGGACAGGTACCAGTCCGGATCAGAACCTCCGCTCTCCATGATTCCCTCTCAACAGCCAGAGGTTCTTTCACTGAACTGCAGTTTTAGTTCATTATTTATCTATAAAAGATAAAAAGCCTTGTTTTCCGTCTGGGAGCACTTCCGGGTCAAAGGTCAAGTGTTTCCAGGTTGAGGTCAGTTTATCCACGTCAGGACGGTTCTGACCCAGTTCTGTTTGTCTGTTCAGGTCATGAAGCGGCTTTCGCTGCGTTTCTTTGCTGCCTGTAAGGTCGGCGCCCTGAGTATCTCTGACCAGCTGGCCATCGTCTTCAAGGTGTTCAACAGGTGAGACGCCCAGGCAGCGGCACCGCAGGACGGGTCAGGGGTCAGACGGGTCAGGAGGGTCAGACGGGTCAGGAGGGTCAGACTCTGCTTTGCTGTTTGTCACACTTAGACTTTTCCAAACACAACCAGGTGTTTATAAAATCAAATCCACGCCCGTTTAACAGTAACTGTATCTGTCTCAGAGACGTTTTTCATGCGCAGCGATGCTTTAAACATTCCAGCCATAGGGGGCAGTGCAGCACTGAGCTAAAACCAATCAGCCAATCAGATTGCTTCAAAACAACCATCACTTCCTGTTAGGAGCTAAACATGAAAACTAGCAGCTTCAGTAATATATTTAATCACTTTTAATATTGTATTAAAATACAAAGTTACTAAGTCATAGGATGATGTTTATTAGGAATCGTCTATCGCTGACTTTAGCATTTGAAGTGACAAAGAGCAAAAAGAAAGTGCCCTGTAGGGTGTAAATACTTTAGAGCCTGTTGTTGAGCCTCCAGGCGTTGGTGTCTGCAGGTACCTGCAGGTGATGCGGAAGCTGCAGCGGACCTACAGGATGGAGCCGGCCGGCAGCCAGGGCGTCTGGGGACTGGACGACTTCCAGTTCCTGCCCTTCATCTGGGGCAGCTCCCAGTTCATAGGTGAGGCAGGCAGGAAGTGACATCAGCAGAGCAGCCTGATTGGTCAGGTTAATGTGTCTTTACCATAGAAGAAGAAAAGTCAGTTCTACAAACTGAGAACAAACATAACTTTTATTTTTTTGGATTATTTTGGAGTTTGGAGATAAAAACTGACGTAGTAAATGTTTGTGACCAGTAGGGCAGCAGTCCATACGATCCAGCAGGGGAGCTTCAGTCCAATCCAGTATTTGGGTCAGATTGAGGTCTGGACTTTGACTAGACCATTTTTCAACATCTTCTTCAGTCATTCTGTTGCAGATAATGCATAAATCATATTCTGAAATATCAATAAACTTTAAATTCTAACTGACAACTGAAACTGAAAAACATTTTACATATCAACATAAACAAACAACAAATAAAATTAATTATTAAGAATCTGCAAACAAAATTATGCTTCAGAAAAAAAGTTTAGTTGAAACCAAAGCAGCAGACTGGAGAGTTTTATTGTTGGTAGAAAGAGAAAATAATAAATCATACATATGCAAATTATTGATCTCATTTTAATTTATTGCTTCTTTGTGACAGGCCTCATCTACTCTATAAATATTTGCAAGAACTTGTGATATTTTACTTTCTAAAATCTACAAATAGCAGAAAAACAACCAGATTTTTATTTCTTGAAGTTACTTTCTTTGTCTGGTTTTTGTTCCTCGGATTAAAACTCAACCTAAATTCAGGCTGAGGTGGGAATTAGCATCATTTAAAATCAATAGTTTTGACAATTTTTAGGGGAAAATTGCAAAAAAACACAATAATTTTTGAGCATGAAAAATGCAGGGATTTGTTTGTTTATGTGATATTTTGTTCTTGAGTCCTTCTAAAGCAGCCATGTTGCTTCAGTGACCTTTAACCTTTAAACAGCTGGTTAATATTTAATGATTTCTTTGACCAAGAAGTTTTTAAATAAATCTAACTGTAATTGTGTAAACTTGTATTTTATTAGTTTTAAATCCAGAAACATTTTTATTTATGGTAGAAAGAAACAAAATGTTGGCGTAACTTTTAACATCCAAGTATCTGCACAGTCAATGTGATGCTGATCTCCTGTAGCAGTCAGTGTTACAACGACTCTGGAGGGGCCTCTGACTGAAGAAGCCCTGCTAATCCACCTCATTTGCTTTTGGCACGAAGATAAATCATTTCATAAATCAGGACATCGTTACTGAACTGACCCGGTCCCACAGAGAGTTTTTAAATGTGCCTTGCGGCTCCGCAGCGCCACCCGGTGGTGACTAACGCTGCTCTGTCCTCAGATCATCCGACTCTGGAGCCGCGGCATTTCATCGATGAGAGAGTGGTGAACGAGCACCAGGACTACATTTTCCTGGACTGCATCCGGTTCATTAACGAGGTGAGAAAACTACGCCGTCCGGTCCATCAGAACCGGTCCGGTCCATCAGACCCGGTCCGATCCATCAGAACCGGTCCGGTCCATCAGAACCGGTCCGGTCCATCAGACCTGGTCCAATCCATCAGAACCTGTCCGGTCCATCAGAACCGGTCCGGTCCCTTAGACTTGGTCCAATCCATCAGAACCTGTCCGGTCCATCAGAACCGGTCCGATCCATCAGAACCGGTCCAATCCATCAGAACCGGTCCAGTCCATCAGACCTGGTCCAATCCATCAGAACCTGTCCGATCCATCAGAACCGGTCCGATCCATCAGAACCGGTCCGATCTATCAGAACCGGTCCGGTCCGACACCCACTGCTCTTATTTATTCATGCAGAACCAGGATTATAAATCCAGTTTCCAGATCTTCTCTGGTCCAAAACCCAAACTTCTGCTTCTGTTTCAATGAAACTCATTTAAACTCATTTATATGAATTTACAAATAATCCTCAGTATGAATATTATTGATAAATGATGAAATATCTGAGGAGAATTCCATGTTTTCAGGTTAATATATTTAAAAACTGATCAAATTTCCCAGAACAACCAGGAGTTAAAACAGATTCTGTTTCTCTTTCAGTTATTAGTGTTTCCTTTAAAAAACATCATGAAACTGTTGCTTTGTTTTCCTATTTCTGAGAATAAATTACAGATTTTTTGTTTTTTCGAAGCTTATTACTGGTCGTGTATTCATAGCAGAAATATCGGGTCCGCTGGGTTTGGTGCTGAACGAGCTGCATTAATGTTAAAGGGAGGAACTAAGGACAGATCAGTGCAGCGTTCTG